CACTGGCAGCACTGTACTTCAGGATAGACTTTGAAACATTCTTTGTGATGATGATTGCCACACCATTCCTCTTCAATTTGTCATTCCCAGCATAGTAGATGATACGGTTGTCTGATTCAAAATGGCCAAAACCAGTCCACTGCAGCTATATATATATATATATATATATATATATGCCTAGGATATTGATCTTCAAGTGTTCCACTTCATTTTTTACAACTTCCAATTTTCCTAGATTCATACTGTGTACATTCCATGTTCCAATTATAAATGGATTTGCAGCTGTTTCTTCTCATTTTGAGTTGTGCCAATTGGCAAATGGAAGTCCTGAAAGCTTCACTTCATCCACATCATTAAGGTTGACTCCCCAGTCATATTTTAAGTGCCTTCCAACCTGAGGGGTTCATCTTCCAGAACTATATTGGTCAATGTTTCAGGGCTATTCATCAAGTTTTCCAGTAATATATCAGTGTTTCATAAGGTTTTCACCGCCCAATTCTTTGAGAAGTGGATTCTTTCTCCTGAGTCTGTCTTAGTATAGAAGTTCCAATGAAACCTGTCCACCATGGGTAACCCTGCTTGTATCTGAAATACTGGTGGTATAGCCTCCAGCCTCATAGCAACATGCAAGCCACCACAGTACGACAAACTGACAGACAAGTGGTGGAACATGTATATGAGGTAACTGAAAATACCAAAGCTTGGGTCAGGCACACTTCAAAGTGACATCTTTGCTTAACACTTTAAGGAGGTCTTTGCAGATTTTCCCAGTGGAATAATGTCGTTGATTTCCTGACTGCTGCTTCCATGGATGTTGACCGTGAATCCAAGTAAAATGAAATCCCTGACAACTTCACTCCATTCTCTGTTTATCATGATGTTGCTTATTGGTCCAGTTGTCAGGATTTTTTTTTTTTTTTTTTTTAATGTTGAGGTGTAATCCATACCGAAAACTGCAGTCTTTGATCTTCATCAGTAAGCACTTCAAATGATCTTCACTTTCAGCAAGCAAGGTTGTATCATCTACATATCAAAGGTTGTTAATAATGGTTCTTTCTCCAATCCTGATGCCATGTTCTTCTTCATACACTACAGCTGCTTGGATTTTCTGCTCAGCATACAGATTGAACAAGTACAATAAAAGGATACAACCCTCACAAACACCCTTCCTGATTTTAAACCATGAAGTATCCCCTTGTTCTTCAAATGACAGCCTCTTGGTCTCTGTACAGGTCCTCATGAGAACAATTAAGTGTTCTGGAAATTTTATTATTCACAATGTTATCCATAATTTGT